ACGGATGACTGTAAATGGAGATTATATACGTGCGGACGGACAGGAATTGGAGGCATCGGACAACTGTATGGGATTTAGCTGTTGTTATCCCGGGCGTACCCTCCCTGCCTGTATCCAAAGGTAAAATGTTTCTTGGATACCCTTAATTTGGGCCGTGCTTGGGCTATTCCATGGCAAAGGTGAGTCTCCCGCCCCTACTGATGCTGCTTTAATGCATCATCACCAACGGTGCGACCATTAAAATTAACAATTAATTTTCAGTTTATGTGGCTACAAACATACATATATTTCAGTGTGATTGAGTGTGAGTGCAAACAATGTAAACATGGAACAAGAATTTTTATATAAAAACAAAATAAAGAAGGCTTGCCAACGGCCAATGCGGTTCTTTATATGTGCCAACATGCAAGTATGTTTATGGCAAATAAATATGTATATGGATATATGTGTATGTGTATGAAAAAAATGCGCGGTACAAAAATTTTATAGAAAAATGTCTAACAAAATCCTAACGAGAGCTCTCGACGGTCATGGGCGCAATAGAAATATAAGAATACATATAAAACACTGCGCGCTACTGCGATTGGCAATCTTCGTACAAGATAAGTGTGTATAAGAGTGTGAATTTTTTATTAATTAAATAGAGCGCCAAGCTCTGTCTAGGGGCCACTTTCTGCCTCGTTTTGGTTTTAATGATGTATGTATATATATTTTGTTTTATCTTCTTTTTTTTTCTTTTGCAGAAACTTCAATGGGGCGGCGTGTGGGACCCTGCAGGCGCAGCCCATACAAAACGACACGACGTAAGGCGCGCGGGATCTCTGCCTGATGTTGCTGCTCAACCGCGAACAACCGGCACGGCGCGTGGCCAAGGAACGGACTCACCGGCTTTTCTATCCTCCGCTGCTGATGGCGCAGACGGACGTGTCTGCTGTTGCTTTGTGGTGGCGCCGCTATTGCTGCTGCTACTTCTTGGGTGGGCGCCTTTGCTCCGGCTGCCACTGTCGTTGCTGCTGCTGCCGTTGAAGACGCTGGTGCTGGATCTGCTTCTGTCGTTGAAGGCGCTGGTGCTGGATCTGCTGCTGTCGCTGTTGCTCCGGCTACGATGCAGCTCGTGCTGCTACTTATGACAGCCGCTGCAGCGGCTGTGTCCGGTTATCCGCTGTCCAAAAACTTGGCGATATGCCGGAAAATCTATATCCCAAGGAACAAAAGGCATTTAAGCACTGGTCGGCACATTTAAGTGGATATACAGGTATGCATACATCGGCATTAGTTCTGCCTTGCATCTATATCCTTATGCTCACCTTCGAACGGCTTCTGGTTCTTCCTTTCCTTTTGCAGGTTTCAGCACGGCCTCCAGTTCACCAAAAGAAAACACTGCCTCGTGGGTCTGCACCGTCGCCCCAAAAACAAGAATGGCGTGTTGCGGCTTGCCTTTTATAGGCCGGATGTCGTATGCCTGCGGATTTTTACGTCCTTGCGCATCCGTTCATCACGGCCTTGACGTTTCCCCACTTTGAGGTGCCATCGGGACACAACCCTGCGCCTGCGCGGCTGCAGTTGCCACCATGGTGCCTCGCTCGGTACCGCTAGATGGCGCTGCAGTGCCTTTATAAATTCTTGGCGCCTTCCGTAGCGCTGCCAGCTTTTATTCTTCGTGACCAGCCCGATGCAACACCACCGCAAATATCCAAGTGGGCGGACGCTCGTACCCCGAAGTGATGTTTGCGCGCATCAAACGGCTGGTGTTGTTGGTGTCCTCTGCTTCGAGTCCGGCGTTGCCTCGGATGACTACTACCGCGGCGCCCAACGTAGGCCACACCCACTCTTGGTCTTCAGGTGAGTAGCTCTGGCTGCATCCTCCTCCCTATATTCATCCATTCTGCCTTAGGACAGGCGTCACACTCGGATATCCTTTGCGTGGAATACCCCCAGCAAGTTCCCACGCAAATCTTCCAGCTCGTATGCGTTGGTGCCGATGGATTTCCTTACGCGAGCTTTTAGAAATTTCCGCGCGAATTTCGCATTGAACGCGCGGCTGAAATCACTCAATGCAAAGTTTCGCCGGTATACCTCCTGACCGGGCGCTAGTCTTAGCCGCCGCGCACGCCGGTTATAGCGAACGCTACTGAGCTCATACGCCGCATGCAATTGTGCCTGGATTTTCTGTTGCAACAGGGATTGCCTGTCTGCTGTACTCAACGCTGCGAATTCGTGCTCGTCTAAGGACCTTAATTTCCTCGCCAATCGGTACTGCGAACCGTGCAACATCATATGTCGGCCGAATAGTGCGAAAAAAGGCGTTACTCCAGTCGCAGAATGCACGCTGTTTCTGATGGCCACTTCAATTTCCGGAAGGTGTAGGTCCCACTCGCGGTGATCCTGCCCCAGATACGCCCGTATCGCGGACAGTATAGTCCGGTTCACCCTTTCGGACGCGTTGCTTTGCGGCGAATACACCGGTGTCCGCAGATGCTTAACACCGTAGCCCTCCATCATGTCTGCAAACTGCTTGGACGTGAATTGCTTACCATTATCGGAGTGTATGACTTCTGGAACGCCGAACGTATGGAACACTTCGTTCACCAAGAAGTCGACGACGCTCCGAGTGGTGGCCTCTCGCATCGCCTTCAGGAACGTGAATTTGGTGAAGTGATCTACCACTATGAATATGAAGGCGTGCCCCTTCCTTGATCGCGGATACTTGCCCAAGAAGTCTATGTATAACTTCTGGAACGGCCTCTCCGTGACGACTTCTGCCCCAATTCCCACCTGCATCCCGTAATTGGTGGCTTTCGTCTCTTTGCAGACCACGCATTTTCGGACCACTTCAGCAACGTCTTTGGCCATTCCCGGCCAATAAAACTGCCGCCGCAACCAGGACAACGTCTTCAACACTCCTCCGTGCGTTGACGCTTCGGTATGGGCCTTCGATATAAGCATGCCGGTTAGCGAACGCGGAACCCACAGTTTCCACACACTGCCTTCGAGCTGATCTTCTAGCCGATTGAAGGATGTCTTTTTGTAGATCACCCCGTTTTCAATTTTTAAATCAGGTAATTTATCTTTTTGACTTTGAATTTCGCTAATCAGCTCCCGATACTCCTCTGATTCGAATTCTGCGGTTTCGATACCCAACAGGTCTCCTGGGAAGAAATCCAACTCCTCTAAAGTTTCGGCTTCGGTGCTCCTGGACAGCATGTCCGCCACGATGTTGTCGGAGCCCTTCCGGTGCGTGATTTCAAAGTCGAAGCCCTGGAGCAGCAACGACCAACGAGCCAATCGCCCGGACAAATCCTTCATGGACATCAGCCATTTCAAACTGGCGTGATCGGTTATGACCGTGAATGGCATCATTTCGATGTATGGCCGGAATTTTTGTATCGCCAATACCGCCGCCAAGCACTCCTTCTCGGTCACCGAGTAGTTCACCTGGTGCTTGTTCATCTTGGCAGAAAAGAACGCAATGGGCCTCTCGTTTCCCTGCAAATCCACCTGGAATAATACGGCTCCGACGCCAATATGGGATGCGTCACATTGTACAAAAAATGGGCGTGAAAAATCCGCGTGTACCAGCACTGGCGCAGATGTGAGCGCCTTCTTCAACGCCTCAAATGCTGCTATAGCTTCGCCACCGAGTGAGAACCTACCTCCCGATCGCTTCTTCAAAGCCTCAGTGAGCGGAGCCGCTAAGGTGGCAAAATCTTTAATAAATCGCCTGTACCACCCGGCGGTTCGTAAGAAAGCTCGAACCTCCTTTACGGACCTTGGCACCTGTATGCGCTGTATCGCCTGCACCCGTTCCGGATCTGTTCGAAGCACGCCGCCGCCCACGATAAATCCCAGGTATTTCAACGTTTTAAAGCAAAACTTCGACTTTTGTAACCCTATCGTCAGATTTGCCTTCTTGAGGCATTCAGCGACTCTCTTCAGGTACTCCAAGTGCGTATCAAAATCAGCCGCGAAGACTACCAAATCGTCAAGATATACTTTAACGTTGGACCTCAGTTCATTCGGTATGACCTTGTCCATCAGCCGGCACAACCTTTGAGCGGCGTTACACAACCCAAAAGGCATCATGCGGAATTGGTACAACGGTCGCCCTGGTACCGTAAAAGCAGTGCACCTTCTACTGGACTCCTCCAACTCCACCTGCCAAAACGCAAATTTCAGGTCCACACTGGAAATATAATATGTCTGATCGATTCCAGATAGGATTCCCTCCACGCAAGGTAGCGGATAGGCATCTTTGACTGTCAGTTTGTTCAACTTGCGGGCATCGAGGCAAAAGCGGTTCTTGCCCGGCCGTCGCACTATGGTGGTGCGGTTACTCCACGGACTATCGCTTACCTCGATGACGCCAAGCGCCAGCATGCTGTCCACCTCATCCCACACAATCTTCTGCATGGCGGGTGATAGAGGGTAGTGCCTGTCTTTCACTGGTTCTGCTCCGCTGACCAATTCAATTCGGTGAGTCTCCAAAGTAGTCTTGCCTAATCCCGCTTCTTCGAAGGTTAAAAATTCTTTTTTTACTTGTTCCAATTGCAGCTTTTGTTGTTCATTCAATTTCCACATATCTGGTTCAGGCCTTACTTCATCCTGGTCCGCATAATGCGCCACTCTATCAGCTAGCAATTCATCGAGGACAAGTCTTTTAACGTCTGGCTTTTCCGGAGGAATTAATAGTGGTGCCAAATAAAACAGCCGCCAAAAGACGATGCCGAAATACGCGTTCTGTTTGAGTGATGGGCATACGTAAAACCCCACTTCTTTGGTCTCTTCTCGATACACCACTGGTAAACGCACTCGCCCAATTACGGCTCTGTCTTCACCGCCTGCTGTTTTAATTATCGAAATGTAATTTCTGGGCACCATGCCAATCTCTTTCAGCAGTTCCAGACTGCCCTTGCCTAGCACGCTTACCGAGGCCCCGGTATCCAGCAAACCGCGTAGCACGTGGCCTCGTACCAGTACTTCGCCAAAAATCCTCGGATCTGCTGCTCCTTCGCGTCGCACTGCCTCGGCTACCAGCTTCTTCGTCTGCCTTCTCACTCGGAATCGTGCTCGGGCCTTTTTAACTTTGGCTGTCACCATCCTCATCCCATCTAACTGATGTTGGGCAAAAATTCTATTGCGCGCCTCCAGATATGCCCGCATCTTTTCCTCGTACGGTAAAAATTTCAACTTATTACTATATGGGGTATTTTTCTTATGAAATTCTTCTTTCAGGACCGCTCCGCTGTCATCCTGGTGGGCACCTGTGTCGAGCGCGATTCGCCCACTTGCTCCGCACTCCGACGGCCGTTTCCCGTGCAATCGGGACAGGTTGGACTATAGGTGTCGGGCCTGCCACACCTATAACAGAAGACGCGCCTTTCCGGTGACATGCAGTCGCGGAAACTATGGCCGGCTTGTCTGCAGTTCCAGCAAACTAACGCCTGTTGCGGACGCCTTGCCAAACGCGCCTCTTCAACTACGCCGAAATCCGCCGACTCCTCGCCGTTAGTGTCGTCGACCAACTCCGCCACTGCCGGTGGACGGTTTCCGCCACTAAAACGTGTGCCGCTGCGTGTTGGGAACACGCCTTCTCGCCGCTGGACCATAGCTTCCACCTCTACGCATTCGTCACGTAAGTGATCTACCGTGTACACGCGCATCGCATACACATAACGAGCTAGTTCTATTTTTAATCCTTTTTTTATATATTTCATCATCTCGTTTTTAGATGGTGCTGTGTGGAGACGCGACGCCAGTTTCCTCATGGCATGGAAGTACTCCTCAACGCTTTCGCTTGCCTTCTGCCGTCTTTCGCGCAATTGACGCATGCGCTCGAATTCATCGGCGGCGCCTTTAAAACGGGACAGCATGCTTCGTTTTAGTTCTGGCCAGCTGTCTGCCCGGTGGTCCCTGACGTACTGCCAGTACCACTCGCGAGCGTGCCCAGTTACTAACAGATGGAAACTGTTTAATACTTCGGACCATGCGCAGCGACACTGCCTCTGAAGGAACTCTATTTGGAAAACGAAGTCTTCAACAGCCATTTTTTCCTTATCGCCGCTGAAAACGATGTCCCACTTTTCAACGCGGCACCATCCGGATCTGCCATTCGCCGCTACATACGGAGGAGGCGGGTCCAGCTGACCACTCCAATCGTTCCGCCTGTTGCCTCTTCGACGGGCCGACTGTGCTGCTGGATTTTGCCAATTTCGAGCTGTGCTGCTGCTATTGCCAGCTACACTGGAGGAACTAGCTGCCGCTGGCCTTGCTACTGGACGCGAAGTTCCTCTTGCTGGTGTTAGAGGTTCAGCCTGGTATTGATGCGGCCGTTTTGGCACCGCACCCCGATTCTGGCTGACTGGCGGTTGCCATGCTCCATTTGCAGCTGAATCGCCGCTATTCGCTCGCGGTTGCAAAACTTCTTTCAACGCGCCCATCAAGTCTTGAAACCCCATTCGGATTTCCTCCTGCAACACTTTGTTGATGCCCTCTTTTTGCGATTGACGGTATGTTTCGTTCACCTGGGCCACTGCTGCTTCTACCACCGACGCGACTACTGGCTCGGCGTCCCAGTGTACTGCTGGTGCTATGGACGCCCTCGGAGGAGTGTGCATGAGGCCACCGGTGGAAAAACCTACGGCTCCTTCTGGGCGTTCCTCCAGATCATCATTTCTGGCAGCTCTCGACCTTGTGTTATACGCCCGCGCAGAATCCTTCTCCATTTCAATCCAAAAAAAAATACGCTCTGTTTTTTTATAATATTTATTTATATTTTGGATTATGAATTTGTTCAGCTTTCAAGCAGGCCCCGAAGAAAAATTCGTATTAATTGGATAATTGTATATATGTATTCCAAACAATGAAAATGTTTGCAAACGCCCAAAACAACAAAAACAAATGGGCAAGAAAATATGTAGATGTACGTTGAATATGTATGATGGATAAATAAATAAATAAATAGGTACAACAATAAATAGATAAATATGTGAATTGGAATAAATAAATATGAATACAGTAGTAAAAATAAAAAAACAAATCTTTAAATAAATTCACGTCCAACTTTGCACGGAAACCAAAAAAGAAATATATACGCTCAACCACAAGACAAATGTAACATATGTATATGCACCAATGTAACCAAAACGACTTAATAAAAAGTAAGCAATAAACAAACAAATTTTCTTTTAAACTTCTGTATATAGGGGCTGAGACTCACACTCAGCCGGAACCCAAACACGGCTCCTATAATATCTACGCCTGTACAGCTGCCCTACGCCACAATCCTGCAATATCTGTTCGCTGCTACATTTATCGCCTTGACGGCGATGAACGACAGCCAACAAATTAAATGGTTGCTTCTTCTCAGCCTGCGTACGGCGGCTGCCTAGACTCCTGCCCAAAAGTGGTACAGGGCCCTAAACAACTCCACCTACTCCTTGGCATTAAAAATTCAAACATCCAAATTGGGCGCCATATTGTTACGACTACGCTTTTCCTCTTGGGCAACGCCGGCTGGCTCATCGGAATTCTCCTTGGGTGTGTGGTTCCAACCCTATGCCCGCGTGAGTCGTACAATAACCGATAACACGGTTCCTCCATCGATAAACAAAATGCCATCACTACAATAAATTCGACGCGCAATATACAAAACCGAATTCAAAACGTAAACAAACCCAAAAAACTAACATAAACTAAAAGAAACGTAATGCGACAAAAAAACAAGTAAAAAAGCTAAAGTCGGGTGTCCCGACTTTGAAATACTCTGTACATATGTTTACAATAATTATAGAAAATAAAAAAATTAAGAAAATAAAAAAAAAATTTGATCGATTTTACCTCTCTCGGTATTCGAACTCACGTAAAGGGTGTATAATTGCACATTTACATAGCAATTGCGTCTGTGTGAGTGTATGTATGCCTATGCGCATCAATTCGTGTCTGTGTAAGCATTTTCGCAGTCAACCAAACAGTAACATCAACAACAGCCGCGGGCAGCGCTTGAGCAGCGCTGCAGCAGCGCTGCAGCAGCAAATATATTTATGGCTATAACTTCTTGGTAAATCGGTCTATCATAGTGAAATTTCGCGTACGGACACATAATAACCAACTGGGGGTATTTCCAAACTTTTAGGTCGAAATTCCAAGAATTACGGGAGTTACGATTTGCGGGGTAGAGGGGGGAGGGAGGGGAATTCCAAAATATACATTTTCTGCGTATTCACATAAGGCATCTGGGACTAAAATTTTGTGTTCCTAAGTCTTATAGTCTCCGAGATATAGGCGATTATACGAATGGAAAATCGGGAAAACCCCCATAGGGGGGAAGTGGGGGGGAAAATCAAAAAAATAAAACAAACTCGTATAGAATACACACATAACGCATCTTTGTGCAAAATTTGGTGTCTCTATCTCTTATAGTCTCTGAGATCCAGGTGTTCATACGGACGGACAGACGGACAGACAGACAGACAGGGCTAGATCGACTCGTCTCGTCATGCTGATCAAGAATATATATACTTTGTGGGGTCTGCCACGCCTCCTTCTGCCTGTTACATTTTTCAGCTCCCGCAAACCTAATATACTCTTGTACATTTCATGTACAGAGTATAACAAATTAACGGATAACTCCCTCAAGTTATCCGTACGAATACGGATGACTGTAAATGGAGATTATATACGTGCGGACGGACAGGAATTGGAGGCATCGGACAACTGTATGGGATTTAGCTGTTGTTATCCCGGGCGTACCCTCCCTGCCTGTATCCAAAGGCAAAATGTTTCTTGGATACCCTTAATTTGGGCCGTGCTTGGGCTATTCCATGGCAAAGGTGAGTCTCCCGCCCCTACTGATGCTGCTTTAATGCATCATCACCAACGGTGCGACCATTAAAATTAACAATTAATTTTCAGTTTATGTGGCTACAAACATACATATATTTCAGTGTGATTGAGTGTGAGTGCAAACAATGTAAACATGGAACAAGAATTTTTATATAAAAACAAAATAAAGAAGGCTTGCCAACGGCCAATGCGGTTCTTTATATGTGCCAACATGCAAGTATGTTTATGGCAAATAAATATGTATATGGATATATGTGTATGTGTATGAAAAAAATATGCGCGGTACAAAAAATTTATAGAAAAATGTCTAACAAAATCCTAACGAGAGCTCTCGACGGTCATGGGCGCAATAGAAATATAAGAATACATATAAAACACTGCGCGCTACTGCGATTGGCAATCTTCGTACAAGATAAGTGTGTATAAGAGTGTGAATTTTTTATTAATTAAATAGAGCGCCAAGCTCTGTCTAGGGGCCACTTTCTGCCTCGTTTTGGTTTTAATGATGTATGTATATATATTTTGTTTTATCTTCTTTTTTTTTCTTTTGCAGAAACTTCAATGGGGCGGCGTGTGGGACCCTGCAGGCGCAGCCCATACAAAACGACACGACGTAAGGCGCGCGGGATCTCTGCCTGATGTTGCTGCTCAACCGCGAACAACCGGCACGGCGCGTGGCCAAGGAACGGACTCACCGGCTTTTCTATCCTCCGCTGCTGATGGCGCAGACGGACGTGTCTGCTGTTGCTTTGTGGTGGCGCCGCTATTGCTGCTGCTACTTCTTGGGTGGGCGCCTTTGCTCCGGCTGCCACTGTCGTTGCTGCTGCTGCCGTTGAAGACGCTGGTGCTGGATCTGCTGCTGTCGTTGAAGGCGCTGGTGCTGGATCTGCTGCTGTCGCTGTTGCTCCGGCTACGATGCAGCTCGTGCTGCTACTTATGACAGCCGCTGCAGCGGCTGTGTCCGGTTATCCGCTGTCCAAAAACTTGGCGATATGCCGGAAAATCTATATCCCAAGGAACAAAAGGCATTTAAGCACTGGTCGGCACATTTAAGTGGATATACAGGTATGCATACATCGGCATTAGTTCTGCCTTGCATCTATATCCTTATGCTCACCTTCGAACGGCTTCTGGTTCTTCCTTTCCTTTTGCAGGTTTCAGCACGGCCTCCAGTTCACCAAAAGAAAACACTGCCTCGTGAAACACGGCCTTTTTAACTTTGGATGTCACCATCCTCATCCCATCTAACTGATGTTGGGCAAAAATTCTATTGCGCGCCTCCAGATATGCCCGCATCTTTTCCTCGTACGGTAAAAATTTCAACTTATTACTATATGGGGTATTTTTCTTATGAAATTCTTCTTTCAGGACCGCTCCGCTGTCATCCTGGTGGGCACCTGTGTCGAGCGCGATTCGCCCACTTGCTCCGCACTCCGACGGCCGTTTCCCGTGCAATCGGGACAGGTTGGACTATAGGTGTCGGGCCTGCCACACCTATAACAGAAGACGCGCCTTTCCGGTGACATGCAGTCGCGGAAACTATGGCCGGCTTGTCTGCAGTTCCAGCAAACTAACGCCTGTTGCGGACGCCTTGCCAAACGCGCCTCTTCAACTACGCCGAAATCCGCCGACTCCTCGCCGTTAGTGTCGTCGACCAACTCCGCCACT